TATCTTTCACAGAAAATAGATATATAGGCTCAAAGTGGACGATTCGGGTGTCGTTCTATTAGAGGTTTTACGGTATATTAACTGAGTTTATTAGGCTTGAAGTGTAGCTATCGAGGTTCATTTAGGTAGCGGCCTCGATCCTTACGTTTCACCCATGTGCTAATTTTGAGCGGCTGCAAACGTACTTAGTACTTGTTCTATTGTTTTGAAAAGTTTGGATTATATTTAACAGGAAAAGAGCTCCATTTTTGTACCTGACAACATTTTTGTGCAAATGCGCCCTAACGAGATATGTATCATAGCGAAGCAAAGCATGTACGAAAGACCGCTACTTTTTACTTGTCATTTGAGCTGCATTATCTCAATTTCTATAAGAGATATCAAAAAGTTATCAACTAATAAAATGTTCACCACATTATTAGCAACATTTTTTTAGTTAACCAACTTTTGATATCTCTTATGGGAACTGGGATAATTTAGCTCAAAAAATGCGCCGCAACTGGCGACGCGGTCGGCCCCGTTGACTGAGCCACAACTGTGCTTGCTGACTTTGAGCTTGACTATCTCAATTTCTATAACAGACATCAAAAAGTGGTCAATTAATAAAATGTTTATCACATTATCAGCAACATTTTATCAGTTGACAGATTTTCGATATCTCTTAAAGCAACCAAGATAATTTTGCTCAAAAAAGCCGCCACTGGCGACGCGGTCGGCGCCTTTGACTGCGCCACAACTGGGCTTACCTACTTTAAGCTTAATTATCTCAATGTCTATTAGAGATATCAAAAAGTGATCAACTAATAAAATGTTTATCACGATATCAGAAACATTTTTTAGTTGAAAAATTTTTAATATCGCTTATAGGAACCGAGATAATTAGGCTCAAAATACGTGCCGTTATGGTCTGCGACGCGGCCGTCGCCGTTGACTGAGCCACAACTGTGCTTGCCGACTTTAAGATCATTTATCTCAATTTCTTTAAGAGATATCAAAAAATGATCAACTAATAAAATGTTTATCAAGTTATCAGAAACATTTTTTAGTTGAAAAATTTTTAACATCGCTTATAGGAGATAATGTGCCTCAAGAACATTCACAGTAAAACAACCAAAACATCTCACTCAATTTTCTCTCTTCCATCACTCAGCTCTTGCCACTGAACTCGTTTTTCTTTAATAAACTGAATCGCTTTTAGCATTTCCTCTCGATCGCCTTGTAATGCATCACTTCTTGGCTTGAATTGGTCCCATCTCGCTTTCAGCTTCTCCGCCTCATCCTTCATTCCCTTGATTGATGTTTCAACGTTGGTCTGGAAGGAAATTGCGGTTTTGGGTCAAATTTTTGATTGTTGCTAGAAGAGATATCAAAAAGTTAAAAACTAGTAAAATGTATAAAATTTCATGAGCTACATTTTGTTAGTTTTCAAATTTTGTCTAGAAATTTTAGTTTTTGAGATATGCAAGCTTGAAGTTACCTACACCCAATTTTGACCCAAACTTGACCTAATTAATTTATCTCTGTTCCCTTAAAAGCTATGAAAAATTTGTCAACTGATAAAATGTTTATCATAATATCTCCAACATTTTATTAGTTGACACGTTTATGATATCTCTTACAAGAACCCAGATAAATTGGGTCAAACTTTTCTTCTTTTAGGGGTCAACTACCTTCAACGCCTCGACTTGTTCCTTAATAACTCCTTGATGCGCATCTAACATCAGCTCAAATCGATCCCATGTTTGTTCCAAGTTATCAATCTGCTCCATTCCTTGACCAGCAACTGATCTCAACAGTGTCAATTGCTCCTCCATGACTTTCCATTCCATTTTCAGCTGACGATTCGTTTCAGCAAAGATGACGTGTTTCGCATTGGCCTCGGCGACTTCATCCAAGGATCCGGGTACTGTATTCAGGACTTCGATAGCTTGAGAGAGAAATGTGCTTATAGAGGTGGACGTCGTGGAGATGGAGTGTCTGAAATTTGGGTTTTCTGTGTGTTTGCGTGTCCAGATGTCCTACTTACCTTAAAGTCCATGTCAGCGCATCGTACAATCTCTGAATCGCATCCTCGATTGCAGTTTTAACACCAGCAGTACTCACCAATATGCACTCGAATTTGAGTTCACTGAAAGAAATATACAGTAATCTCTGCAGCTAACAAAACCGAACTGCAAGCCTCGCAAACGCTCTCACAGCGTTTGTTTTACTATCTTTGTGAATGCGCTTTAATGAGAACGCAGCCAAATCGATGGCTGAGGATCAAACGTTTCGTTTCGTTGTCTGCGTCTCTTCACCGAAATTTCGTCTCTTCACAGAAATGTTCTGAGTCTCTTCACCGAAACAAGATCTCTCGTTTTAGGGGAGAATTTTTTCATTTTTGAAAATTAGAAAAAGCTTCGCCCCGCCCCTTATCAATAGAACGAGTTTGCAAAGATAGAAAAACAAACCCTGTGCGCTCTGTGATGAACAAAATGCTTTGCTAGAACAAATGTACGGTAATCTAATTGAACCAAAGTCTTAATGACTTGCAGTTCGAATTTTCTAAAGTACAGTAATCCAATCTTACTGTGGCAAACGTTCGGCCTCTCTTGCTTTGGCTTTCAAAATCTTAAACTGCGATTCCCAATCCGCTGCGGTTTTCAAATTTTCCTCAATAAGCTCCTCGAGGTCCACTTGGGAGATGACTAGCCAATCCTGAAAATTTTTTCAATTGCGGACATCCGGACAAACCGATAAGCATACCACGAAAATGGCATCACAAGTCTCCACTTTTTGCATCAATTGCTCAGCTTTCTCGTAGACTGATGGCAACAAATGCATACTTCGTTCGATCATTTGGGCGTAGAATTTGGTTGACTAAAACACAATTTTTTCTAAATTCAGAAATTCAGAAATTCTAAATTTTGAAATTCTAGAAATTCAGAAAAACAGAAATTATCAATGGAGCGCACTTACTGTCTCATCCTCCTGAACTCCTCGAAATTTGTCTGGAATTCTTAAAAATCGACAGAGCTCTTTGTAATATTTGGAACGGATTTCTTCGATTGCCGGACGCAGTTGGATTTTTTGATCGCTGAAAAACCGAAAATCGAGGAATCAAAGAGCCCGTAAATCGACACTTACACAAAAACTAGACTGACGGAAATTGTGGATAATTGAGATTGGATACTTTCGATTCCCCATTCGTATTGGATTAGAAGAGCCTGAAGATTTGAACAATTTGAAATTTTTAAAGAACTTTTGAAATTCTGAAAACCCTAAGAAAAATAGGAATTTCCGAATTGCTGGATTTTTGAATTTTCAGAATTCTAGAAATTTAGAATCTTAGAATTTTAGAATTTCTGTACATTTAGACTTTTCTGGAATTTTTAAAAAAATATCAGAATATTTGATTTCTAAGATTTTGAGATTCTGGAAACTTTTGAATTCCCGAATTTTTAATTTTCTGAATTGCTGGAACTTTGAATTTTCAAAATTTTGAATTTGTAGAATTCTAGAACTTTAGAATTTCTGAATTTCTGAACTTCTAATATTCTGATTCTCTGAACTTCTAAAATTCTGAATTTCCGAATTTCCGAATTTCTGATTTCCTGATTTCCTGAATTTCTGAGTTTCTGAATTTCTGAATTTCTGAATTTCTGAATTTCTGAATTTCTGAATTTCTGAATTTCTGAATTTCTGAATTTCTGAATTTCTGAATTTCTGAATTTCTGAATTTCTGAATTTCTGAATTTCTGAATTTCTGAATTTCTGAATTTCTGAATTTCTGAATTTCTGAATTTCTGAATTTCTGAATTTCTGAATTTCTGAATTTCTGAATTTCTGAATTTCTGAATTTCTGAAGTTCCGAATTTTTCAAAAACCTCGGACCAAAATTGTCTTCAAGGACCATATTTATTTTTGAGGCCCAAATTCTACAGTAGAGCCAAATCACCTTATACAATTGAAAATCCCAATGAATCAACCACGGCTTCATATTATTCCTCGCCGCTCCATGTACAACTTCTTCCTCCTTCATTTTCGATCGAATCTTCAGAATAATCTCTTTCCACTCATTATTCTGTTTCACAATATTCAAATCCATCAATTTCTCAACCATTTCTATCAATTCCATATGAACATTTCGCAACCGACGGTTTCGATTCGACAATTTTTGTTCGGCGGTTTGCAGTTGGACAATGAACTCTTCCAGTTGTTTTGGATCGTTCCATGTTACTTTCGAAGCCGAGTTGGAGGCATCCTTCCTTGGAATAACCAGTTTTTCAAATGCAATTGCTTCTTCCAGCATGAGAGACTGAAAATCAAATTGAAATAGCTTTTCTAGTTTTTGAGATATAAAATTTTCAAGTGGGTTGTCTTTCAACATGAATATCTCAAAAACTAGGATAGCTAGGTAAATTTTGTAAACTACAAAAATAAAGCCCATAAAATTTTAAACATTTTACTAGTTAGCGACTTTTTGATAGCTGTCTTAGTTTTTAAGATATGCGTCTACAAAGTAAAAGAAAGTTGGAACCAAAGAGAATCCAGAGCGCGCGCTTTCTAACTCGAATATCTCTGAAGCTAATATAACTAGTTAAAATGTGTTAAGTCTTAAAATATAGCTCTTAAAATTTCAAAAAATTTTGTAGTTGACAAATTTTTGCTAGCTATTGTAGTTTTTGAGATATAAACTTCCGAAACTAGGATGCACGTTTGTCCTGAGTCAGAGATGCTTAAACTTTGAAAGCGTATAACTCAAAAACTAAAAACTTGACCCAATTTTTCTAGATCATGGCTCAATTTTTTTAGGTCATGACCTAGATTTTACAGGTCATAGCCTAGATTTTTTTAGGTCATAGCCTAGATTTTTTTAGGTCATGACCTAATTTTTCTAGGTCACGACCTAGATTTCCCAGGTCATGACCTAAATTTCCCAGGTCATGACCTAGATTTTTTTAGGTCATGATCCAATTTTTCCATATTTTTGAAAAAAACAGCCGAAAATCCAAAAATTTCCAAAAGGTAAACTTTTCTTAAACGGACTCGCGGGACAAAAATGTGCCCTAACTTCGAAGCCTAATACTTCATGAACTAAAATAGTTAGCTGAATTTTTTTAGCAAATGCAATATAGTCTATAAAAATTTTATACATTTTAATAGCTGATAACTTTTTGTTAACTATTTTAGTTTTAGAGAAATGCGCTTCTAAAGCTAATCATGCTTACCTGTTGCGACGGAATCATCTGTTGATCGATGGTATTATAAAAATGAGCAATCTGTTTGAGGATAACACCAAATCGATAGTACTTCTCTCCATTGTTAGCGCATGACAGGATCTTCGATGGAATGTTGAATCCCAAACTGCTCAGTTGGCGGACTTCCTGGAAAAAAGAGATTACATGGCCTAGAAAAAAAGTTAGGCCATGCCTTCAACAATCTCAAAAGACGATCTGAATAGTTCACATTCAACTCTCGATTCGACGCTTCCAAATACATAATCTTTCCAGTCGTTTCTAGATTTATCGTCTCATTTTTATTATCAATCAACCCGACGGTTTCTCGACACCAATCATCGAAACACTCCTTCTCGGCATACTGTAGTTTTTCAATAAATTCATCCAGCTTTTGTGCGAATTGATTGTAGTTCGAGATATCGTTCAACATCATTTTCGACAGCGATCTGATACTTTCCATCTAAAGAAATTTAAAAAAAAAAGCTGTGTGTCTGTTTGTCCATATGTCCTTTACCTGACTTGTCTGCTGCCGAATCCAGACGATTCTCGCGGCGACTTCTGTGAGAAATTGAAAATTTTTAGCGTCGACTTGAAGAGATTTCTCGCTGAATTCCTGATTTTTCTGTGATAGCATTGATATCAAACGATTCAGGAACATTTCCCGCTCGTGTTGAAGTTTCTCCTTGATGTTGGCTCGGCACAGGAAGCTTTTCAGCTTTTCCAGGCTTAGAACGATCTGGAAACGATTATCTTGAAAACTAGAATAGCTAGCTGAAATTTGTAAACTATAAAAAAGTAGCTGATAAAATTTTGAAAGTTTTTGTAGTTGACAACATTTCGATAGCTTTTCTAGTTTTTGAGATATGCGCCTTTAAACGGAAAGAGAGACGCAGAAAACTGATGTGAGAGCGCGCGCAGTGAAGTAGGTCAAAATTTAAAAGCCTATAACTCAAGAGTTAAAATAGCTAGAAAAAAGTTGTAAACTAGAAAAATGTATATAATTTTATGGGCTACACTTTTGTAGTTTTTAAAATTTGACTAGCTATTCTAGTGTTTGAGATACGCGCTTTTGAAGTCGAAGAAAGACGCAGAGGTGCGATAGGGCGCGCAACAAAGTAGGTCAAACTTTAAACGCCTATAACTCGAGAAATGAAATAACTAGCAAAAAGTTAAAAATTAGTAAAATGTGTAAAATTTTGTGGGCTATATTTTGTTAGTTGACAACTTTTTAATAGCGTTTTTAGTTGTTGAGATATGCGTTTTGGCGCAGAGAGGCGGCAGAGCTTCAAAGTAGATAACAACGCGCTTCAAAGTAGATAACAATTTAAAAGTGTCTACATCTAAAACTAAAAACGCTAACTAAATTTTGCCAATTAGCAAAATATGTAAAACATTTTGATCTACATTTTGTTAAAATTTTAGTTTAGCGCTATTATTCTATGAGATTCAAAAGTTTCAATATTGTCTGTACAACTTGAATGGCGCCTCAACTTCAGGGGCTAGTATCTCTTAAACTAAACACGCTACAAAACTTTTGTAAGCTAGAAAAATAGAGATTTTAAAATTTTACACATTTTACTAGTTGACAACTTTTTCATAGCTATTTTATTGTCGGAATAAAAAAAGTGAGACTCGGTGTTTGCGTACTTTGATTCCCGCCTCCCCCCACCGACGCTCCGCCCATCGCTTTGCAAGTGCGGCGTGGTGTTTTGGCGCGCCACTTGGGGATCATATTTTCTATGAAAATCTCATTAAATCCGATGATCTCCCAAGTAGCGCCAAAACACCACGCCGCACTTGCAAAGCGATGGGCGGAGCGTCGGTGGGGGGAGGCGGGAATCAAAGTACGCAAACACCGAGTCTCACTTTTTTTATTCCGACAATAGTTTTTGAGATAGTAGAGGAAAAGGGGAGACGCAGAGAAGCGACAGCGCGCGCTTCAAGGGAGATCAAACTTTAGAGGCTCATAACTTGGCGCAAAAATGGAATTTTTGAACAAAACTAAACTTAGAATTTAGCACTTGACAAGATCTACAAAATGATATTCAAACCTACTATATTGAAATGTCGAGTGTTTCACCAGAGGCCGCAGAGTAGCCGGGCCCGCGTTCTGGCGGACTTTGCTATTTAAAATTTTTTATTTCAGAACTTGACATCCCAAAGTAGTCGAATTCAATATTATTTTGTAGATATTGTCAAACTCTACGTTTCACTTTTTAATTCAAACACGAATTTCAATTTTGAACCGAGTTATGCGCCGGAGAGTGACTCTAGGGGTTTTTGAGTCTTCCGAGCTTAAAACGCCTTATTGGTCCCCGATGACCTTGTGAAATTCCAGGCTACTTACACTCTGACTATCTCCATTACTCGGTGCAAGTCTCTGCTTTAAAATCGGCAGCGTCCTATCAATTGTCCCCTCAATCGCCCTCTCCGCCACCAGCAGTCGACTCTTCCAATTGGGTTCCGTAAACGGATTATATGCCATTGGTGCCATTCCTCTCATTGCCGTCTCTATCGTTTTTTCGGTCTCCTCTCGAATGCCCCTTTCTTCCAAAAGTCCTTCCAACTGGCCTCCCAGACTTCGAAGCGACAGAATTTCATCGAGTCGTTCTTTGAAACCATTGAGAAACTTCATTTCCATCGGATCGCCTTCCCATGTGTGCTCGACGTTTCGTTTCCAGGTTTGAGATGTTAGTAGACGAATTACGATCAGCATTTGATCACACACATCGATTGCTGATCGCAACTGATCCGACACTTTTTCGTCTCGCCAGATCGCTGAGTCATCGATCTGCAATTTGTTATAGGTTTTCAATTTTAAGGCATCTCTGACTCATGACTCGACTCGCGGGATAAAAGTGTATTCTAGTTTTGAAGGGTTATATCTCAAAAACCAAAATAACTAGCTAAATTTGGCAAACAACAAAAACATAGCACATAACATTTCACACATTTTGTCAATTGACAACTTTTTTATAGATTCATTAGTTTTTGAGATATACGCGCTCAAAAATAGCGTTTATCTACTTCAAATTCCAAAAGAAGAGTGTTGTAACTTTGGAGGTAAATATCTCAAAAACTAAGATAGCTAGCTTCATTTTGTAAACTACAAAAGTGTAGCCCATAAAATTTTGTACATTTCTCTAGTTGACAACGTTTTTCTAAATTTATTGGTTTTTGAGATATACGCGCTTAAAGATGACATTCTCCTTCTTTTAACTCGAATGTCGTCTTTGAGCGCAAACACATATCTCCAACACTAGAACATCTAGCTAATTTTTATAAACTCTTTATAATTGCCTTAATTCCCAAAATTCTGACATTCAGCCAATTTCATATTCTTGATCACATTAAGAGCTTCAAAATGAGCCTAAACACGCCTAGTATAGAAAAATTATGGAGTTTTTGTGGGATTACTGTACTTTTCGTATTGGGACCCCAATTTTCCTCAATTCAGAAGAGATATAGTTGTGTTTAGATTCATTTTGAAGAGCTTAACTAGACAAACTAGAATATTACAATTTCAAAACAGAAAGTTCAGAAATAGCAGAGTTTGGACAGAAAATTGGTTTTCATAACCAAACATTTATATTAAAAGTTTGATTCAATTTATCTAGCTTCCCGTGAAAGATATTGGAAAGTAATCAATTGATAAAATGTTGCTGATATTATGATAAACATTTTATCAGTTGACCACTTTTTGATATCTTTCAAAAGAAGTGAGATAAATTAGGTCAAAATTAAGACACCCTTAACAGACTGTGAAAACCTTCATATGATTATATCTCAAGAACTAGAAAAGCTAGAAAAAAGTTGAAAAATACAAAAATGAGCCTTAACGCTCTGTTAAGTGGATATTCCTAGAAATTCCAAAACAAAATCTTAAAATAGGCACATACTTTGAAAGTAATGGCCTCACACAAATAACTCGATCCGTACTCGATCAGCATCTTCATCCTTGGCTGGGGATACGGTACTCCGCAATTCCATAATTCATCACAAGTGTCTTCAAATGTTTCTACAAGTTCTGATAACTCATCAATTCGTCTTTCCTCCATCGTCTCCACAAGTAATTGTAGTTGTTTGAACGCATCGTTATAGTCCTGGGCCGCCCGTCCCGATTGTCCTTTCCAACTTCGAATCTCATCGTGTAGAGAACCTCCTAAAGTCAGAAAATTGAAATTTGAGGTGAAATGTTGAAATTTTGAAGTTGAAACTTCAAAACGAGCCCAAACACGACCACATTCCTTTTGAATATAAGAAAATTGGGTCCCACCACGAAAAGTACAGTAACCCTACAAAATATCAAATGTGTGCTAGACTAGTCGTGTTTGGGCTCATTTTGAAGCTCTCAACGAGCTGAAAAAATCAAAATAATTTTTGGTTGAATTTAAAAGCAATAAGCAAATTTAAAGACATTTATGATTTTCTGAAAATTTTTGGAAAATCAATTTTTCGCCTGAATTATTTTATTTTGGAATGTTCTAAATCGAAGTTTTTTATTCCAGTTTGGTGTTTTAAACCCTTCAAAATAAGCCTAAACATTACCATATTCCGTTGAATAGGGTCTCAGCACGAAAAGTACAGTAATCCTACAAAATATCAAAATGTAGCTAGACTAGTCGTGTTTGGGCTCATTTTGAAGCTCTTGACACGCTGAATCAGAACACAATAATTTTATATCAATATTTCAAAAACAGGCGAAATTTAAGAAATTTCAGATTTTCTGAAAAAGTTTTGACTATCGTTTTTCTGTCATTATTTCGATAGTTTGGATTTTCTCTTAACGAAATTAAAAAGTTTTCATTAAAGTTAAAAAATGCTGCAAAATGAGCCCAAACACGACCGTAATCCGTTGAATAGGATCCCACCACGAAAACTACAGTAATCCCGAAAAATTCAAAATTGGCCTAGATATGTCGTGTTGGAGCTCGTTTTGAAGCTCTCAACGAGCTGAATACAAATTTATCAATAGAGCGCACTTACCTCCACTCATTTCCACAGTAGCCAGCAAACTCTCCTCAAGTTCATTGACCGCCGCAATCAGTTGCATGTTGTTACCCTCGGTGAGTTCTTTTCCGAAAACCTAGAATTTCAAAATTATGAAAATTCGCTCTAATGAGAATGTTTGTTACATTCTGAACGGATTTCAAAAAGACATGATTCAGGGTTCCATTGGCTGATATCACATTGACCACACTTTTGAAGTTCTCATTGTTTAAAGGGACAGACTGCGTTTTGTAGAAAACCACTCGGAGGACATTGGCCGATGGAGCAGAAGACTTCATTTTGTTGGAGAGTTCCAGTTTCTGAAAACATTTAATTTTGGGAGTTTTTTTTTCGTAAATTTTCAAACTTCGAAAACTTCTTTAATTTTGAGATTTGCTCTTCAACAATAGTCTATTTCTTTTCAACTTGTTCAGAGCTTCAAAATGAGCTTAAACACGACTAGTCTAGCTGCATTTTGATTTTTCGTGGGATTACGGTACTTTTCGTGGTGGGACCCAACTTTCAAAGGAATATAGTCGTGTTTAGGCTCATTTTGAAGCATTTATTGAGCCCAATTAGAAAAAATAGGTTTCAGTCTGAAAAGTTCAAAAATAACCGAATTGTGGCGAAAAATTGATTTTCAAAAAAATTTTAAAGAAAATCTAAAAATTCTTATATCTCCCTTATGTTTCTAAATTTAAACATTAAATTACTAAAATCGTTTTAGGCGTGTCAAGAGCTTCAAAATGAGCCTAAACTCGACATACCTAGGTCAATTTGGAAATTTTCGAGATTACTGTAGTTTTCGTGGTGGTACCCAACTTTCAAAGGAATATAGTCGTGTTTAGGCTCATTTTGAAGCGCTCATCAAACTGAATTGAAATACGATGAGTTCGTTCAAAGAAAATCAAAAATACAAAAATTATGACACAAATTGATTTTTTGAAAATTTTAGGAAATCTTAAATTTCTTATAATTTGCTTATTTTTGGATATTTCTTCATGAAATTTTTTTATTATTTTTCAGCACAGTATGAGCTTCAAAATGAGCTTAACCGCGACATATCTAGGTCAATTTCGGTTTTTTTTGGGGATTACTGTACCTTTCGTGGTGGGACCCAACTTTTAAAGGAATATAGTCGTGTTTAGGCTCATTTTGAAGCTTTCAACAAGCTGAATCCAATTCTAACAAAACCAACCTGTTCAGACCGCGAGAAAACCAATAAATTGGTGTTTGAGTCTAGAAAAGTCTCCAATGGCTCTGTATTTTTCAACTTTTCCTCAACAATATTCAATCCGAGCAAATAAGACGCCACCCGGAGAAAATACGATTTTCGTTGGTCCTTATTTTCAGATGCCATGGTTATTTTTCTGAAAAAAATTGTCCCCAAAATTTTGTATTTTTCTGGAAAATTCTAGAAAATTTAGAATATGAAAATTGGAAATTTGATATTCAGGCTTTGTTTATTTTGTTTCTACGATTATAGGGAAATGGGAAGTTTTTAAAAACAAACAAATTCACTGAGGAAATGCGCTCTAATGATAATTTTCAAAAACCTTTTTTCATTAGAGCGCATTTGCTAAAAATCTTTTTTTTATGTTAAAAATTTTTTTGAAGGAAAAACTACTTTTTGCCTTATTTTTCATTCACAAAAAAACGCAAGTTTAATCCGTTTTTAAAAAAGAAAGTTTGAAAAAAAATTAGATTAACAGTAGAGCGAATTTACATTTTATCAAATTTTGAATTTAAATTTTATAAAGGTTAAAAATCTAAGAAAATTCTTGCAAAATGAAAATAAAGGTATTTTGCAGAAATCTAAGTGCACAACAGCTTCTTGGGCTCTTGAAAGAGCGCATAATGAGAGCACGTTCTCCCTATTTCCTCCCTCTCTCTTTCTCTGCGTCTCTTCATCTCCCACACTTTCTCCCTCTCGCTAGTTTCACCTCTGCAGGTGTCTGCTTCTGGTTGCCATGGAAAATTGGAATAAACTAGGGGGGAAAAGGAGGCGTATTATATGCCTATGTGCCTAATTTGGAATGTGTGGGAAAGCAGGAAATTGGAAAATAAGGACAGAAAATGACAGGAAATGGTCACAAAAATTGGAAATTCTAGATGTGTAAAATTTGTTTTTTTCAGGTCTGTTTGTGTGTCCGGGTGTCCATTTTGTTTGGAATTATTGCCTGAAAATCACTTTTCTCTGAAAAAGTTGAAAAATTCAAATCTCCCTCCATTTTTTCTCTCCGGTGTGTGTGATTTTGCGTGGTGGTGTTCGCAATTTTTTGCACTTTAATTGACGAGCAACGTTTTTTTTTTCAAAAAATGAGAATTGTGTCTCATCAATTTGAGTGGGTTATTCTAGATTTTAGATGGAATTTTCAGGTTTTTCTTCATAGAGTGAATTAATAATTTTAGTATTTTTCTGAAAATAAGTCTGAAGTGAAAGATAATGCGTCTGAAAATCTGAAAATTGAGGTTTTTCAAATTCCCGGATTTTCCTTTTTTTCAGATTTTTCGTTATAAAGTGCTTTTTTTCAGCGACAGAAGTGCGAGAAAAATCTGAAAATTTAGAAAAACCTCGAAAAAAGAGAAAGGGTATTTTTCGAATTTCCATTCGAATTTTCCAGAACAGCGACGGAATTTCACAAACGAAACTGCTCATTTCGGTGGAGCGCAATCCCGCCCACCTCTATTTTTTCACTTTTTTCCCTGAAAATGATCAGGATGTTCCGTGTTTTTTGTTCATACAAAGGCTTAGAATGAAACTTCTTGTCGTAAAAAAGGTGTTTTAGCCTCAGGCCTAAAATATAGAACAAAAAACGGAATATTCTGAAAATTTTGCAGTGAAAAAAGTGTAAAATTTGCTAATAAAAAGTGTAAAATTTGCTAAAAAAAGTGTAAAATTTGCTAATATTTGGGAATTTAAAGACTTTTTGATTGGAGTTTTCAGATTATTTTGCCTTTTTGTTTGAAATTTGAGGCTTAGGTTGTAACACCCTTTTTTTCTAATGAGAAATCTGTAAGGTTGTGCCGATGCGATGGTCGATTTTCCGAAACAAAACATCGAAAAAATTTTTAAAATACGCAAATTTGTCATAAAAATCTGGTAAAAAATCGAGTTTCAAGCAAATTTAAAATTTTCGAAAAAAAAAATTAAAAATTCAAATTTTTTCAGATTTTCACACTTCAAAATTTAGCCAGCGGCTGAATTTTTTTCAGGACAGAAAAAAAACAATAACTGAATATTCTCGAAAAAATCCAAAAAAAAATTTAAAATTAAAATTTTTATTCAAAAAACCAATTGTAGACTCGCAATTTTTCAAATTTTCGCTCTCAAAACTTTTCAAAAAATTTCAAATTTCCCGCAAAAAAAGTTCTCAGAATTCCTCCTCTCCGTTCGCGATCTCCATCAATTGTATAACGTGTTTCGTTTCGTAATCTGGTCCGTCTCTCCTCTTCCTCTCTGTCCCCCTTCGACACTTTTTGTATACAATTTCATTCAAAACAAAAACCCCCAAAAAATCGATAATTTTCCTCTAAAAATCACCCAATTTTCATGATTTTTCAGCTCAAAAACCAGGATTTTTATCAATTTTCATGTTTCACATGACAAAAACCGGTCTATTTACTCAAATGAGTCAACGTCGTGGGAATGGAAAACGCGCTCCGCCGCACTCGATTTTTCTCTCGAGAGATAACTTTTTTGTGCCAATTTTCCCACCGCAATTATCGCCGTTAATTAGTTCCAAATTGCATTTTTTTTGCGAAATTTCCGTTATTTATGCCGTTTTTTGGGGATTTTTCACCGGATTTTTCGCTATTTTTCAGTGTAAATGTCAAACTGAACGAAATGGCCAATCAGTTTTGTACGGAGAATCGCGATGTCGCGTGCTACTTGGTCACCAAACACTCATGGAAGGGAAAGTGAGGATTTTAATAGGAAAATAGAGGAAAAATGAGCAAAAAATGACCGAAAATAGCGATTTCTGCAGTCAAAAGTGTCAAAAATCCCCTATTTTCCGACTTTTTGGGCTCAGAAATGAGCAAAAAATAGCCGAAAAGAGCAGTTTTTGCAGTCAAAAATGTAACAAATGCATTTAAAACGTTCAAAAAAGTAGAAAGTTGCCTATTTTTCGACTTTCTGGGGTCAGAAATGAGCAAAAAATAGCTGAAAATTGCGGTTTTCGCAGTCAAAAATGTCAAAATTTTCGAAAAAAAAGTCGAAAATTGTCTATTTTCCGACTTTTTGGGCTCAGAAATGAGCAAAAGATGGCCGAAAATAGCGATTTTTGGGCTCGAAAATGTCAGAAAAAAAGAGCTTTTTCTGGCAGAAATTCGAAAAAAAAGTCAGATTTTTTAGTCAAAAATGGGAATTTTCGCGATTTTTAGCCAAATTTAGGTTTTAAAAAAGAGCAAAAATGACAAAAAATTGAAAAAAAACTACCCGTAGAAATGATAAATTTCCAGATACAAACGGGTTTTCTCGATCGGAACGCTGGCATCACAACCTATAATCCCAACTCGTTGGAAATCACTAACCAGGTAGCACTTTTGACTGAAAACTTTGAAATCTGAAGAAAATATGGGAGAAGGCTGATAAAAATTGGTAAAAATTGGTCTAAATTGATCTAAATTCTCATTTTGAAATCTCTGGCTTGAATTACACTGAAAATAGGCAAAAGTTGAGATTTTATGTCTCAAAATGCTGATTTTTGGCTTCAAACTAGCTGGAAAATCGTCAGAAATCACTAAATTTTCATTTTGAAATCTGAAAAATCGGTGAAATGAGCTGGAAAATCATCAAAAATGGCAAAATGCGGACCGAAATTCCACTGAAAATGGGCAAAAATCAAGAATTTTTGACATTTCCAGGTTTTTCAGCTATTTTCAAAACATATTTTTCGATTTTTCTGGTTTTTTTCGTCTGAAATTCTGATGAAACGGTGTCCTGGGTTACTGTAGATTACTGTACAAAGTTTTGTAGTTTTTCTCTGCAAACCCAATCACGTCGAAATGCAGATTTAAAAAAACTCCAAAATACCAGGTTTTCTACAGTAATCTTTTAAGATTTTCAGAGACAAAAATCGGGAAAATGGAAGAAGAATTGACAAAAATAACCGGAAAAAAGGTCTAGAAAATTTGCAAAAAATCGAAAAATTGAAAATCTGAAATTCCAAAATTCTGAAAATTTTAATTTTGGAATTCTTAGAATCTGAAAATCTGAAATTTCGAGAACCTGTAATTCTGAAAATCTCAGATTCTGAAATTCTGAGGATCCGAGAATCTGATGTTCCAGGAATCTGAAATTCTGAGATTCTGAAATTCCAAAAATCTGAATTAGAACAATCTGAAAATCTGAAATTTCGAGAATCTGAGAATCTGAAGCTCAAAAAACTTGAAAATCTGAAATTCTGAAATTCTGATGATTCTGAAATTTCGCAAACCTGAAATTCCTAAGACCCTGAAAATCTGAAAATCCAAAAATTCCAAAAATTTTGATTTTAGAATTCTTAGAATCTCAAAAACCTGAAATTCCAAAAATTCTAAAAATCTGAATTCGCATGTTTCCAGTGGCTCTACGAAGACTTCATATCAGTGAAACCGTTCCAACCCAATGATACTCGTCAAGAGGAGACTGGCTTCAAGATTTGGTATCGACAACGTGGCAAAAAGGACGATATGAAGTTCTCATCGGAGTACACACCCGACATTCTGACGCACTGTCTTCAATTTCATACCAAATTCGCTGATAAGGTCTTTGATCCAGTGGTGAGCTTTGTTTTTAACGATAAATTTGGAGGCCCTGAGATCTTTTGACGTCTCAAAATTTGAATTTGGCGCCGTTTGGATGTCCCTAAAAATTCAAAAAATGTTCGGTAAAAGCTGAAAATAGCTGAAAATCTGTAATATTTTCTGTGCTTTTCGGACATCTGGACACATGGAAATCCTCATATTTTCCCCAAAATTTCAGACAGTGACAGCATTCAAACAGAGCTGGAGTGATCGTCGCATCCAAGTCACTCTCCGTGCCAACGCCTTCGGATTGGAACAAATCGATAATCGCGGTGTCGTCGTGCAGATGTATCCGTATAAGAATATACGAAGTATCGGAAAGATTTCCGATTGTCCCGGAGCGTTTGTGGTCGATGTCGGCGAGCATAGGAGACGGGTAAGGAGCATTTTTGGCTGGAAAAAATGATTTTTAGAGTCAAAACTCGTCCTGAAATGTCACATTTTAACTGACTTATGACCTAAAAAAGGAGCCAAAAATCAGATTTTTAAAACAAATTCTTTGAATAAATTGACGTTTTAATGCTAAAACGAAACCGAAAACAGAATTTTGAAGATTTTCTGAAAAAAAAATGAAAAAAAAAACCGAAAAAAACAAGATTTTTCTAGGTCATGACCCAGATTTTTCTAGGTCATGACCCAGATTTTTCTAGGTCATGGCCTAAATTTTTCTAGGTCATGACCTAGATTTCCTCAAAATTTGCGGCGGTTTTTGACCCATTTTAGACCCGAATCTGACTTTTTTTTTCCGAATTTTTCGCCTGAAAATCGACGGGAGATGATATTGAAGATTACTGTAGATTACTGTAGAAAACCTTTGACGTGATTGTGTTTGCAGGAGAAAAAAACTACAAAATATGGGATTTTCTACAGTAACCTGCAGTAATCCAGAACGCCGTTCCATCAGAATTTCAGACAAAAAATTCTGAAAAATGGCTGAAAAACCTAAAATCTGAAAAATGGCTGAAAAACCTATCACCTTTTCTAGACGAAAAATTCGCCAAAAATCAGGGTTTTTTTTGGCAATTTTAGACCCTGAAAATCGGATTTTTCGCTATATTTTTTGTCTGAAAATCCCTTATTTTCAGCACATGTTCGCCTCGTCGAATCAAGAAGAGCTAATCAAAGAATGTCGACGTCTGGCAATTGAGAATATTGGTTATACGATTCCAATGGCCAAAGAACTCATCTCACTCGACGATTTCCTCAAGACCCGCCTCGGATTATGTAGTCGTGACGAAGAGTTGACGTCGTATTCAGAATTCAAAGTGTCAAAAATCACGAGACGAGCCGAATTGCCTGTGCGGAGACTGTTGTGTTTGAGTGAGACGTGTATCATTGAGAGGGACTTGGCGACGTATGCAGTCATTTGTGCTACCCCGCTGAAACATGTTAGTTTTGGGCTGAAAATTCTAGAAAAACGCCTGAAAAATAGAATTTCAGAGAACCTGAAATTCCAAGAATTTGAAATTCTGAGGATCTGTAATTCTGAAAATGTTAGATTCTGATATTCCAGGAATTTGAAAGTCTAATATTCCGAGAATCTAAAAATCTGAAATTTCGAAAACCTCAAAAACCAAGAATCGGTAATTACGAAATTTTGGAGTTTTCAAATTTTCAGAATTTTAGAATTTTTAGATTTTTGAAAATATTTTTCTAGCATTTTCAAAATTACATATCCTCGGAATTTCAGAAATTCCGATGCTTCTAATTTCAGATTTTTGAAAAAAAAATGTGGAATTTCAGAAAATTCCAAGAATCCGAAATTTGAAAAAGCTGAAACACCAAGATTCTGAAAATCTGAAATTCCAAGAATTTGAAAATCTGAAATTCTGAGAATCTGTAATTCTGAAAATTTTAGGTTCTGATATTCCGAGAATCTGAAAATCTGAAATTTTAAATAATCTGAAATTCTAAACTTCCAAAAATTCTGAAAATTTCGATGTCGTAATTCTAAGAATTTCATCTCAAAATCTGAAATTCGAAAAATTCTGAAAATCTGAAATTTCTAGAATCAGAGAATCCGAGAATCTAAAATTCTAAGATTCTGGAGTTCTGGAATTATTAAATTCTGAAATTCCAAAAATCTGAAAATCTGAAATTCTGAAATTTCAAAAACTTGAAAATCTGAAATTTCCAAAAAGCTCAAAAACAAGAATCGGAAATTTTGAAATTTCGAGAATCTGAAAATTTCGAAAACGTAAATTCTAAGAATCCGAGAATTTAAGATGCTTGAATTCTGGTATTCTCAAGTCCTGATATTCCAGGAATCTGAAATTCAGAGATTCTGAAATTCCAAGATTCTAAAAATATGAAATTCCAAAAACTCTAAAAATCCTAAAACCCATATTTCCAGATCGTTTGCCTCGTGCGAAGCGAGAAAGACCCTCAACAATTCATCGTCGAATATGAGAACGGCGACGGAAGAGCGTACGTGGCAGCTGAACGAGACCTCATCCTAGCCTCTCTTCTCGACGGAATCCGTGCTTCTGGAAATCAAGAAGTCTTCGTGTGCGGTCACCGCTTCGAGAGGAATCTCCGAGTGATTCCATTCTCAACGACACTGGACGAAGATGCCGAGTCTCAATGCATGAAACACATCATCGCCCCGCCCCCAGGCCTTCGTCGCTGCGACACCATCCGCCGTTTCAACGCCAACGTCCCGTATTCAGGCCTTCGATTCTCGAAATCTCACGAAGGATTCTTCTCGGAAAATAAGGGAAAAGTGATTGTCAACGCTATTGAAGCAGTGCTAGGCGAGAATTATACAAAGGAGGAGAAGGAGTACAAGCATAAGACAGAAGCACAGCTACAGTGTCTCAGAAGGCTGTTTGCATCGAAAAGCGGATTTCAGGCTTTCACAGAAGTCACGGGAGTCCGCGAGAAGCTTGGAAGTCTTGTAGTTCGTGTGCTCTCGTGGAAATCCGAATCTATCGATCATTCTACTGTGGAGGCTCTGTGTGCACTGATGTATCCGATGCATGATCAATATGAATTGAGGATTGAGCAATTGAATAAGCAGAGTCTGATGAGCAGTCCGAAGTTTGTCGAGAACCTTTTGGATCTTATCGTCCTCCACGTGGATCGCTCCACCGGTTGGCTTGTCATCGCCTCTATGCTCAACTTCCTGACCTTTTCCGTCTGCTCCCCATACTCGGAGACCACTTCTGGCGACACTTTTGATCATATCCTGAAGCTCGTCGCGTTACGTGGTCGTAGCTTCTTCCGTCTCTTCCAGTGTCCCAGTATGACAATTGTCAAAGGCGCAGGGATGGTGATGAGAGCTATCATCGAGGAGGCGGACGTCGAGACTTCCAAATCGATGCAGATGTTGGCACTGTCAGAAGGAGCATTTCTGACTCATCTACACACGGCGCTGCTTACAGTAGGAAAGGATTTACGGAGAATGACGAATAAGCAATTGTCAGGGCATTTGATAAGTTTGTGGATTGCTGATAACCAACAAGCCAATGATCTACTGGTTAGATGCTTGCCACGTGGCCTGCTAAACTTTATGGAGTCGGATGAGAAGGTGCCGATTAGTGAGAAGGATCTGCTGATCCCCAGGAACAACTTGAGTGCCGCTACCAATGAATCGAAGCAGAACACGGTTAAAGAGAAACTGGATCACCTGAGAGTGACAGCGGAGGCGGGATTCGAGAGATTGTGCAGCACTGGGATCTGGAGCAGAAGCTGAACTTCCTACCGAAACGAGTTATCGACGAGAAGCAACAACAACGACAGCAACCGGTGGTCCTTCGGAAACGAAGGAATCGAGTGCGCCCTAATGTTAATTGGAGGCTTTTCGCTTATCAGTTCTCGAAAGATCACTCGCAGGCGGATCTGATTTGGAATGAGAAGACGCGAGAGGAGTTTAGGCATTCGATGGAGAACGAGGAGCGAACTCTGGCTAGTGAGAAGGAACAAGCGCCTACTGGACTGCCGATCGCTTGGAATCATACGGAATTCCAGATTCGATATCCTTCGCTGTTGGAGGAGATTAAGATTGGAGACTACTACTTGAGACTGTTGTTGATTGAGGCCGATGAGAATGCGACACCTATTCATAATCCGTGAGTTTTTAGTCCTAAAAAGCTGCAACTAATGATTTTAGCTGAGAAAAAATGGCTAATTTTCATCCAGAAAATACTTAAAACCAGGATAAAAATTGACAGTTTTCTGGCCCTGAAAATTTGAAATTTTGATCTGAAAAATCAGGAATTAAGAACCAAAATTATTGAATTTTCGACTTTAAAATTGTGAATTTTGTCTGAAAATGGCATTTGTGGCGCTGAAAATGCCTAATTTCGACCTGAACAGTCAGGAATTCCGATCTTGATTTGTGAAATTAAGACTAAAAACTATGATTTTTCAACCTAGAAATAGTCAATTTTGGCTGGAAACAGTGCGAATTTTCACCTTTTCAAAAACACTTTTTGGCGCTGAAAATTCCAAAGTTCGCTCTGAAAATCATAAAATCGATCTCGAATTTGTGAAATTGAGACCCAAAAATATGAGTTTTTTTCGACTTTAAAAATGGTGAATTTTGGCTGAAAAAAGTGCGAATTTTCACCGTTTTAAACACTTTTTGGACTGAAAATGACGGTTTTCAGTCCCGAAAATAGCGAATTTCGGCTTAACATGACGGCGCTCAAAAAGCCAAATTTTGATCTGAAAATCATGAGTTTCGATCTCGAATTCGTGAAATTAAGACCGAAAATTATGAGTTTTCAGCCTAAAAATAGCGAATTTCGGCGCTGAAAATCCCACATTTCGATCGGAAAATCATTAATTTTGACCAGAAAAATCAGGAGTTCAGACCCAAAATTATGAATTTTCGACTCAGAATCGACTCTAAAAATAGTGAATTTTTAGCGCGGAAAATTCCACATGTAGATCTGAAAATCATGAGTTTCGATCTAGAATTTGTCAAATTGAGACAAAAAAATTATGAATTTTCGACTGTGAAAATAGTGAATTTCGGCTGAAAATAGTGCGTATTTTCAGCCAGAAATTGTATGATTTGATCCATATTTTGAAATTTTCAGCTTTTTTCGGGATCTTTGAATCTGTAGATCGCAGGATTCTTGTTTCCTCCGATCCTCCGATCTTTGAATCCTTGGATCCTGGAGTCTTCATATTCTGGATTCCCAAAATTCTAGGTTCTCGAATGTCTGGATCGCTAGATCCGTAGATCTCTAGATCCCTATATCCCTAGATCTCTAGATCCTTAGATCCCTAGATCCATAGAACCATAGATCCCTAGATCCCTAGATCCCTAGATCCCTAGATCCCTAGATCCGTAGATCCGTAGATCCGTAGATCCCTAGATCCGTAGATCCGTAGATCCGTAGATCCGTAGATCCTTAGATCCCAGATCCCAGAGGTTTGGAGATGGATTCGCAATTCTCGAGATCCAGGAGTTCCAGAATCGTCAGATTTTTAGATCCTTAACCCCAACAATTCCAACTCTTTCCAGAGACTTAAATCTGAAAATGCTAGAATTTTCTCCGAAAAATCCCCAATTCTCCTATCATTTCCAGCCTGGAATTCTTCAACAACGTCTATCACCGCTTCCTGCTCTCCACAAAAACCGATATGAAGTGCCTGTGCCTTCGTGCGATGTCCATCACCTATTCCCGCCATCACATGACAATCGGACCATTCCAGGACGCCAAATATTTCGTGGAGATGCTCCAAAAATGCGCCAACCCCTTGGAACGAGACCATCTAGTCCTGCTGCTCTCCAAGTTGGCTCTAAACAAGGATAACGTTCGAGAGCTGATCATTGCCAATGTCCTGCCCCTCCTAGTGGATTTATGCGTTTTAGCACACTTGCACGTTCAAAGAGCCAAAGTTCAAAATCAGACGAATGTGATCGAGGCGAGCGCTGAGCAAATGGCTGAAGGAGGATCCGAGGAGTGGTATTATCATGATAAGGAGGCTAAACAAGTGGGACCATTGTCATTTGAGAAGATGAAGACGTTGTTCGTGGAGAAGACGGTGTTTGAGAAGACCCAGATCTGGGCAGCTGGAATGGATAAATGGATGAGTCTCGCGGCGGTGCCACAGTTCCGATGGACGGTGTGTCAGATGGCAAAAGACATCCCGCAGGAGATCAACGTTGGGAAGGGACCATTCCAAGCGACACAGATGAATTTCACGGATTTGAGTGTGCTTTGTTTGGATACGATTCTGCAGATGTGCGAGTTCTTTCCATCGAGGTGAGAATGGAGATTCTGAAGACCAAGGATTCTGGCTTCTCGAATCTCAGAATCCTAGATTTCCAGAATCCTCAAATCCTTAGATTCTTGAATTCAAGATTCTGGAGATTCTGAAGCCCTAGGATTATGGATTCTCGAATAGACCCCTAGATCCCTGAATTCTTAGATCCTTTAGATCCTTGAATTTCAAATTTTTCAGAGACAACTGTTTGAAAAATGACATAATGGCCTAACTTGGGTTTTCTAGGCCATCAAGTTGAAATGACCTAGATAACCCACTAGGGGAAATGTAGACCAATTCTAGGCCATTTTAGCATGATGGCCTAACTTTCTCAACATGAGTTTTCTAGGCCACCATGTTGAAATGACCTAGAAACACACTAGATGAATATTAGACCATTTCTAAGCCATATCAACATGGTGGCCTAACTTTCTCAACTCGGGATTTCTCGGCTAGGCACACTAGGCGAATATTTGGTCATTTCTAGTTCATTTTGATATGTCGGCCTAGATCCCCAGATTCCCAGATTCCCAGATCCCCAGATCCCTAGATCATTAGATCCCTAGATCATTAGATCCCTAGATCTTCAGATCTTCAGATTCATAGATCCCTAGATCTCCAGATCCCTAGATCCTCAGATTCTTTGAACCCTAGATCAATCCTTAAATCTCTAGATCATTAGCTCTGAAAATCCTCCGATCCTTTGATCCTCCGATTCTTAGATCCTTAGATCCTTAGATCCCTAGATCCCTAGATCCCTAGATCCGTATATCCTTAGATCCTTAATCTTTGAATCTTACAATTCCATATCGTTCCAGGGACTCGTACGACTGTGTCGTCCGCCCGATGCCATCCGTCAAGAAGCAGCTCACGGAGCCCGTCCTCCTCTACCAACTCGTCCAACTTCTTCTCACCTACGAACCTCAAATCGTTCAAAGAGTGGCTTCCCTGCTCTACCTAGTCATGCAAGACAACCCATTCCTCCCCCGTCTCTACCTCTCTGGAGTCTTCTATTTCATTCTAATGTACAATGGATCCAACGTGCTCCCGATCGCCCGTTTCCTTCATTACACCCACATGAAGCAGGCCTATCGCTCGACGTTACCTCATCTGGAGAGCACACGACAATCGATTCTCGCCACGTTGCTTCCCGAAGCCGCCACGTTCTATTTGGAGCAGTATGGACCGGAGAAGTATGCGGAGGTGTTCCTCGGAGAGTTTGATAATCCGGAAATCATTTGGAACACTGCGATGCGACGTCATCTGATTGAGAGGATCGCTGTGCACGTGGCAGATTTCTCACATCGACTCACTTCCAACGTCCGAGCGTTGTATCAATTCTGTCCGATTCCACTGATTGATTATCCAGAATTGACTCAGGAGCTCTTCTGTCACGTCTACTATTTGAGGCATCTGTGTAATCGACAGAGGTTCCCAGATTGGCCGATTCGAGATCCGATCCCTTTCCTCCGCTCCTGTCTGGCTACATGGTACAACGAGTTGGAGAAGAAGCCATCGACGATGTCTGCCGACTTGGCACGCGAGATTCTATCAGTGGATCTGAGCAATGAGGAGCATCGGAAACCGGCATTCATACGTCGTCAGTACTACAAGCTGGCTGCCAAATACCATCCGGATAAGAATCCAGAGGGCAGAGAGATGTTCGAGAGGATCAATGCGGCTTATGAATTGCTCAGCAGTGAGAGTGCCAACAACTCGACGATGCCTGATTCGCATAGGATTGTGTTGTGTCTACAAGCACAGTCCATCATATACAGTCGGTATAGTCAAGGTAGGAGCCCAAAATAGAGCTCTGCGGGGCCAAAAATAGTCTACAGTAACCATATAGTGACTAATTTCCAAAAAAAAAACCGAATTTCGACCATTTTTGAGCCATCTGCTCAAATGGCTCTGTGCGATGCATTATTACCAATCTCACGATCCGGGTTCGAACAGGTTTTTCATTTTTTGCTTTCTGAGCTGTGAGCTGAAAAATTGAAATTTGAGGTTTTCTGAGGAAATAGGATGAAACTTTTGAATGATGCCCCTAAAAATTGACCGAAATTGGCTAATATCTGGCCTACAGTAACCCAATTTCCAGAACTCTCTGAATACAAGTACGCCGGCTACTCGCAACTCATCAAAACCATCAACCTGGAGGCCAAGGACGACGCGTTGTTCATCAAAGGAGGCGGAGATTTGCTGTCAGCTGCGATCGAGTTGGCCAACTACACACTGATTAGCAGTGCACTGAATGCCGAGCAATTGAGACGAGATGGTGGATTGGAGGTATTTGACCTAGAAAATCTTAGGAGAGGAAATTTGGAATAGCTAATATTCGAGAAATTTAGCCTTTCGATGCTGAAAAATGATAAACGCATGAATTTCTACTCAAAAAATCAAACTGAAATAGCCTCAAAACGCCTAAAATTGGCCTGAAATAAATCTGAAAATAATCCAAAAAATCTCGTCATAAACGGCTAAAAATCGGCTAAAATGGAAATACCGTAAAGCATGTATTAGAAGGGCTCTCACTCCAGAGGTACCTTGGAACAATGAAAGCGCCTTCTAATGCAGGTTGTGCAGTAATCTCGAACACCCAAAAAAATAGTCAGGAATAGTTAAAAATCTCAAATCTCTAATTTCCACAGGCCCTGGTCACCGCATTCGATCGTTGCGTCCCTATGGTGACGATGAGTTCGACGCCAGACGACATGCCTGTCCAAGTTTGTATCCACGTTTGCGACTGCTTCGCGACGGCGTCAACATTCGAGATGTGTCGACAGAAGTTGGCTGAGATGGTTTCGATTTTCGGTGCACTCACAAGACTTTTGCAGTTCTCGGTGAGCATTTTTTTCGATTTGAAAAATACGAAATTTTGGCTTTTAAAACCAAGAAAATACCGTCTAAAAATTCCAAATTCTGGTCTGAAAATTATAGATTTTTCGTGAAAAAAAACCCTGAAAAATCGAAAAAAATCCTGTCTAAAAATGTCGAAAATTAGTTCTGAAAATTATAGATTTTTCATGAAAAAAAACCCTGAAAAATCGAGAAAATTAGTTCTGAAAGTTATAGATTTTTGGCTTTAAAATTCCGCTTAAAAATTGCAATTTTTGGTCTGAAAATTATCGATTTTCAGCTTCAAAAAATGTCTGCATTGGGCCCGGAAATCGGTCTAAAATTCCAAAATTTGCCCTGAAAATTATAGATTTTTGACTGTAAAAATGGGAAGTTTCTGATGCTGAAAACTTCAATTTTGAACCTAAAATTACACGATTTCTGGCCCGGATTCTGGAATTTACAGCCTGTAAATTACAGGCCCCAGAATCCTATATCTTAAAATTTAGGTCTGAAAATCTTGAATTTCCAGCACCTCCCCCGCCTGTCCACAGCCGCTGCCCAATGCATTTGTGCAATGTCCGTCGACGAGCTCCTCCAATTCCAACTATTCCAAACTGGCGTTCTCTGGCAACTAGTCCCCCACCTCTTCCACTACGACTACACCCTCGACGAAGGCGGCGTTCAGCATTCAGAAGACTCCAACAAGCAATCGCTGGCGAATTCCCTGGCTCGGTCCTCCTCCGAAGCCCTTGCGGCACTCGCCGGCTATCGTGAGAACACGCCGGATAATGAAGGCGTCCAGAAGAGCCTTCGCGCGTTGCTCACACCATATATCTGTAGATGTATGCGTGTGGAGACGAACGATATGGTGCTGAAGACGTTGAATAGTAATCTGGAGAATCCGTATATGATTTGGGATAACGGGACGAGAGCTGAGGTGCTGGAGTTTGTGGAGAAACATCGAACGTCGAATGAGCCATCGGTAGGTGTTTAGAGTTTGGAAAATGCATTTTTTCTCGAATTTTGAGCCGAGCCGATTTTTGACTCATTGCTCAACTTAAAATTTTAAAATTCAGACTAAAATATCTTGAAATTTAGACTGGAAAATTAGAATTTTCGGCTTAATTTGAGCCGCACAAAGTTTGAGCATTTTTGAACAAAATTGGCTATTTCTGACCTATTGCTCATCTCAAATTCCGCTTCAGAGCACACTGATGGGAGCGGAGTTCGAGTTGTCCGTGCACAAGAACGAGCTGATTGTTGGCGACGTCTTCATTCGGATATACAACGAGCAGCCGACGTTTGCGCTTCATGTGAGTCGATTTTGAACGAAACATTGAATTTTGACCCCTATTTCTGATCAATTCAGATCCGGAAACTTCAAAAATTTGCCCGGATTTTGACGAATTTGAAGCTCAAAATCACGATTTTCAGAGGCTAAATTTGCAAAAAATTACAGGAAAACCCCCAAAAGTTGGATTTTTGCCTAATTTGGACTGATTTGAATCCAAAAATCTCGATTTTGAGCTCAAAATTGCGATTTTCAGAGGCGAAATTTGCAAAATATTGTAGGAAAAACCCCAAAAGTTGGATTTTTGTCTAATTTTGATGAATTTTAAGCCAAAACTCTAGATTTTGAGCTCGAAATCTCGAGCTTTCGTGGAGAAATTTGCGAAATATGGCTGGAAAACACCCAAATTTTGATTTAGAACAACATAACATCATTTCTGGCCCCTAATTTTTACTTATTTGAAGCTGAAAATCTCGATTTTTGAGCTCAAAATTACGATTTTCAGAGGCGAAATCTGCAAAAAATTGCAAGAAAAAACCCCAAAAGGTGGATTTTTGCCTAATTTTGACGATTTTTGTACCCAAAAATCTCGATTTTGAGCTCAAAATCACGTTTCAGAGGCGAAATTTGCGAAATTCGGCTCGAAAATACTAGATTTTTGAGCCCAAACGACTCCAAAACTACGATTTTCACCCCGAATTTTCCAGGAACCGAAAAAAGTGGCCGTCGATCTGTTGGACTATATCCGAAAGAGCTCGGATGAGCTGAACGGTGTGCCGAAGCCAATCAAAAAGAATCCAGACGATTTGATTGAAATCGATTGGGGAAATGGACCATCGTCATCACAGGAGAATGGAAACACATTGAACACAGAGACCAAGGTGTTGATGGTGATGACAGCGTTGTCGAATCTGGTTTCCGCGAATCCTGGTGAGCATGGGATGGCTGAAAACCGTCTGAAATTGAGCCAAATATACCGTAAAACCTGTATCAGAAGGGCGGGACCTTTAGAGCGCCCTACTAAAATGTCTCAGTTCTGAAATGTCGCAGTTCTAAAATGTCAGAGTTCTGAAATGTCGCAGTTTTGAAATGTGATAGTTCTAAAATGTCACAGTTCTAGAATATCATAGTTTTGAAATGTCGCAGTTCTAATATGTCAAAGTTCTGAAATATCGCAGTTCTGATATGTCGCAGTTCTAAAAAGTCAGTTCTAAAATGTCACAGTTTAAAAATGTCACAATTTTGAAATGTCACAGTTCTGAAATGTCGCAGTTCTAAAATGTCATAGTTCTAAGATATCACAGTTCTGAAATGTCACAGTTAAAAAATGTCATAGTTCTGAAATGTCACAGTTTTGAAATGTCACAGTTCTAAAATGTCGCAGTTCTGATATGTCGCAGTTCTAAAAAGTCAGTTCTAAGATATCACAGTTCTGAAACGTCACAGTTTAAAAATGTTATAGTTCTGAAATGTCACAGTTTTGAAGTGTCGCAGTTCTAATATGTCACAGTTCTGAAATGTCGCAGTTCTAAAATGTCACAGTTCTGAAATGTCGCAGTTCTGATATGTCGCAGTTCTAAAAAGTCAGTTCTAAGATATCACAGTTCTGAAATGTCACAGTTTTGAAATGTCACAGTTCTAAAATGAGACAGTTCTGATATGTCGTAGATGCTTAAACTATTGAAGAGGGTCCTCTTATTTCTTCATGATCTTTTCGATGGGGTCCTTCTATTAGAGGGGGCCGCCTTCTAGTACAGACGCTAAGGTACTGTTCTAATTATCAAAATTACAAGAATACCATTCCAGGTGCCGTATTTGCCAACAATAAGGGTGAGAATAAATGTTGTAAGGTTTTTGGTGAATCTATCAAAAAATTTGTAGTTTTTGCGCCTGATTCCTTGACTGTCTTGACCCCCGATTCCTTCGTTTAGCTTCGAATTTCCACTTAAAAACACCCCCAAACCTTTCCACATGCTTCTCTCCTCCCCCTTATCAGACCTTATGGCCAAAATGCCCAAAAAATGAGCAATAATATGCATATTCCAGGCGTCGAAATCCTGCTCATCGGCAACTTCCCATTGCTCATCACCTATCTCCGCGGCCGAAAACACCCTCAACTTCAAATCGCCGCTCTCCAAGTCATCCTCCTCGCCGCAGCCAATAAGGAGTGTGTCACTGATCTTGCCACGTGTAATATCACAACGACCCTCTTCACACTGCTCAAAGACCATCCTAAAATCGTTGCCCGCGTCCTGGATGTCCTTATCGCTCTCTCTTCGAACGGTCAAATAGTCAAGGAGATGCTAGAGCACGGAGGGCTGATGTACATTCTATCCATCCTCTGCCTCACGAATTCCGATCAGGGACAACGTCTTCAATCGGCGGAGCTTCTGGCGAAACTGCAGGCTGATAAGCTGACGGGACCACGGTGGACACGATTTATCAACAAATTCCTGCCGGCGATCTTTGCTGATGCGTTGAGGGACTCGCCGAATACAGCGTGAGTTGGTTTTTAGGCTCCGCCCACTTTTGAGAAAAATCGAAACAGTTTAATTTTGGTCCTAAATATTTGGGTGAAATTTAGTGCTAGTGCTAGTGATCCTAAGCTCCTACCACGTTTAGACAAATCCAAAATTTCGGATTTTAAGCTCCGACCACGTTTAGACAAATCCAAAATTTCGGATTTCAAGCTCCGCCCACTTTTAGACCAATCCGAAATTCGGATTTTAGGCTCCGCCCACTTTTTCAAGAGATCAAAATTTCTCGATTAGGGTTCAGACTCCGCCCACTTTTAGAAAAATCTAAAACTTCGGATTTTAGGCTCCGCCCACATTTTTCAAAAGATTGAAAAATCTCGATTAGGTGACAGGCTCCGCCCACTTTTGAACGAATTTTCTTTCATTTTTTGCTTCCGTATTTCAGGCTCCTCCCATTTTCACGAAAAATCGGAAAAAAAATATACTAAGGATCTTCAGCTCCGCCCACTTTTGAACCCAATTTCTAAAAAATTCTGAAATTGGCTCCGCCCATTTTCATGAAAAACTGAAATTTGTAATATAAGTATATCTAGCCCCGCCCACTTTTCGACCAAATTTTTAACAGCTATTGCTGTCGAAAGTGGGCGGAGCTTAAAATTCTGAAAATCAAAACAATCGGCAAATATAAGTCATTAATGCTCATAGAAATTTCAAGCTCCGCCCATTTTCATGAAAAAACAGATTAAGGATCTGTAGCTCCGCCCACTTTTAAAATTTTTTGGGAGGAGCTCGAAATGACATCTAAAATGGAAAGGGGCGGAGCAAAGGTATATTAGGCCCCGCCCATTTTGATGAGAAACTTAAAAATGTACTGAAGGTCTGTAGCTCCGCCCACTTTGGAACTGAATTTTCTGGGAAGCATGAGACAAAAGCTACGGAAACTAGCAATAGTTTTTCAAAAATGGGCGGAGCCAAATCTGAATGACCGTAGTCCAACCTTTTGTAGACTACAAATGTTCGATTCATCAAACGAGCATCCCGAGTTGATTTGGAACGAAAACACCCGGAAAAAAGTGAAAGAAATCATTGATAAAGAGGTGGAAACGCTGTATCAGAAGCATATCAAGGACCCGACGGCCAAATGGAATACCACAACGTTATCAGACGATTACTGTGCTTATGGTGATAGTATCAGTGGAGAACTCGTCGTTGGAGGCGTCTTCATTCGGCTGTTTGTCGAGAATCCCGGATGGCCTGTCAGACATCCCAAGGAGTTTGCCAGGGAGTTGATTGAGAAGTGAGTTTGAGAGGGAAATCAGAAATTTTGAAATTCGAAGATTCTGATATTCTGAGAATCTGAAATTCTGAAATTATGGGATTCCTAAATTTTGAGATTCTGCGAATCTGGAATTTTGAGAATCTGGTATTCTGAAATTCTGGAGTTTTGAAATTCTGGGAATCTGAAATTTGGAAGTTCCGAGATTCGCAGATTCTTAAATTTCGTGTCTCTGGAATTCGGAAATTCTGGAATTTTTAGATTCAAAGAATCTGAATATATGGAATTCTGGAATTCTGGATTTCTGGAGTATTGAGATTCTGAGAATTTGAATTTTTGAGGTTTAGAACTTCTGAAACTCGCAGATTCTGAAATTCTGAGATTCTGAAAATCAAACTTTTTGAAAATTTGAAATTCAGGGATTCTGAAATTCTAAGATTCTGAGAAACTGGAATTCTGACAATCTGGTGTACTGAAATTCTTAAATTCTGAAATTTCGAGATTCTGAGAATCTGAATTTACGGAATTCTGAGAAACTGGAATTCTAAGATTCTCGATCATGAAAATCTAAAAATCTGAAAACCTGAAATTTTTAAGATTCTGAAATTCACGAATTTTGAAATTTTGAAAAACTGAGATTCTGAAATTCTGGTATTCTGAGATTCTGAGAATCTGGTGTTCTGGTATTCTGAGATTCTGAAATTCTGAGATTCTGAGAATCTGGTATTCTGGGATTCTGAGATTCTGAAAAATGAGATTACGAATATCTGAAATTCTGGAAATTCTGAGATTCTCCTTCTGGAAATTCTGAGATTCTGAGTCTGGAAATTCTGAGATTCTGAGGTTTTCTGACTCTGGAATTCAGAAATTTTGAAATTCGAGGATTCTAAGATTAGTAGGCTTCTTAGATTCCGTGATTCTGAAAATCCGAAATACTGTAGCTCTATGATTTTGAAATCCACAGATTCTGGAATTCTGAGGTTCTCAGTACCTAATTTCCTTTGGAATCCGAAATTCTATACTGGGATTGTGAGATTCTGAAAAATTGAGATTCTCTAATTAGCGCCCTAATTACCTTTAAAATTCCTTTAAATTCTAAAAATTGAAAATTTAAAATTCGAATTTCCCGCCATTTCCTAACCAATAACCCAATTCCCATTTTTCCAGGGTCCTCGAACTAATGGCCCGCCCGCCACCTCAAATCGAAATGGTCACCACCGCCTTTCGTGGCACTGGTCCGTAATCATCCGAACACTGCTGATCAGCTACCGGCTCAAGGATATCTGCCACAGTTCTGTACGAATATGGGCAGTCAGAAGCCAGAAGCGTCCAAAGTGGCCATTTTGATCCTTCAGGTGAGGCTTTTTAGCCTTAAATTTGAAAAAAAAATGGCTTGAGATTGTCTGAAAATACAAAAATTTGGCTGACAATTGGCTGAAATCTGGCTTAAAATTGGCTTGAAAATGGCTGAAAATAACTGAAAATTGGCTTGAAAATGGCTCGAAATTGGCTTGAATTAGCTGAAAATGAGCGGGAAATTGGCTGAAAATAGTTGAAAATAACTGAAAATTGGCTGAAAATAGCTTAAAATTGGCTGGAAATTAGCTAAAAATAACTGAAAATTGGCTCAAAATGATTGAAAATAGCTGGAAAATGCAATTTTTAAAGCTAAAAATTCATGTTTATGGTCTAGAAAAGATGAAAAAATTTAAAAAACGAGAAAATCAGAATTGTCTGACAAAAAAACGGCATTTTCGACAGAAAATGGGCAAAGAAAAGCTAAAAAATCCAATTTTAGAGTCTCAAAAAGTCTATTTGAAGCTGGATATCGGCTGAAAAAAGCTAAAAATTGGCTGAAAATGGCTCTAATTAGGCTGAAATACGACTGAAATTGGCGGAAAGCAGCTGAAAATTGACTGAACATTGGCTGAAAATTGGCTGAAAATAGATCGAAATAGGCTGAAAATAGCTAAATCTTAGCCGAAAATTGGCTTAAATGGCTGGAAATTGGCTAAAAATGGCTGAAATAGTTGGAAACTGCCTGAAAATGACTAAAAATTGGCTGAAAATAAATTAAAAAAGACTGAAAATGGTTAAAATTAGCTGAGAATAGCTAACAATTAGCTGAAAATAGCTGAAAATAGCTTATATATGGCTGAAAATAGCTGGAAACTGGTTAAAAATTAAAATTTGCTTCGAAATTTCAAAAAAAATCTGGCCCAAAGTAACAAATTATGGCTTGAAATCTATGAGTTTAGTGTTTCAGCGAATTCTCCAAAAAATGGAAATTTTCAAAAAAATTGTCATTTTTCCAGGAGCTCAGCGAGACCAGTTCTGTTGTGACGCCCTGTCCCAACTGCCCTGCATCGACGGAATCATGAAATCGATGAAAAATCAGCCGTCGTTGATGCGAGAATCCGCGCACGCGTTGAAGTGTCTAATGAAGCGAAACACTGGGGAATTGGCTCAACAAATGCTCAATTGTGGAATGGTACCGTACCTTTTGGAGGTGCTGGACAGTTCGATGAATGGCGTCTCGAATGGCGCAGCCGCCCGTGCCGAGATAGTTGATGCACTGAAAAGTGCGATTTTGGATTTGAAAGTGGGAACGAAGATTCAGGAGATACTTGAGAAGAGCCCCATTTGGGCACAATTCAAGGATCAACGACACGATTTGTTCTTGCCCGCGGCGAGGACGCTGGCGGTTACTGGTTAGTTGAATTTTCTACGATTTCTGAGATTCTGAATATCTGAAATTCGAAGAAAAAAAACATAATCTAAAAACCTGGAATTTCAACCAAAAATCACTATTTCCAGGCGCCCCAACGGGAGTCGCTGGTTATCTGACCGAAGGAATGTTCAACCCGCCACCAATGAGCAATCAACCACCGCCAATGCATCACGACGCGGCCGGCGACTCGTTCCAGCCGCCACTTTAATTAAAGCTGAGCAATCTGCGCTCAAATTTCTCTTAAAATGCCCTTTTTTCTCTCTCAAATTTTGTACATTTTTGTATTCTTCTCCTATCCTTCCAATATTCATTTTTATTGATTTTTCCCTAATTTATATACCATAATTATTCCCAGTTAAGTGCCTTTGTTTCATCCCGAAATCAACAGAAAAATGTGATAATTCTCTCTAGAATTTCTTAAAACTTCCCAGCGCCACACCTACTTTTTTCCCTCCAGAATCCCGTGATTTTTTTTCTAATTTTCTAATTTTTGAAAATTTGAAAATTCTGAATTTTTGCCCGCTTTTTCTTTGTTTGTTTATCAATTTGGTGCTTAATTTCCCCTCAATTTTCTGAATTTTTCCTAAATTTTTAATTTTTGTAAATTTTCAAAAATTTGCCCCTCCGCCCATCCCCTCCATTTTCCCAGTTGAAAAATATATAGAATATCGCTGAGCTTATACGATATTTATATATAAATTATTGCTTTCTGATTTTTTAGGTTTTTCAGGAAATTTTTCGAAAATTGGTCTGAAAAATCTCGAAAATTTCTTTGATTTTTCTATTTAAAATTGACTAATTACAAAAAAAATCCCAAAATTCTCGATTTTGAGCACGAAAAACGCATTTTTGGATGAAAAATGACCAAAAAATGAGGCAGAAAATTCGAATTTCGCCGGTGGCCTAGCTTTTTCCCAAAGTTCCTCTGTTTTCTAGGCCACGGGTAGAAAATTGAGATTTTTGATGTTTTTCTACACGAAAAAGAACAAAAATTGAAGGAAAAGTGAGAAAAATCGAATGTGTTAGAAAACTTTTGTAAAAATTTGTGCTTTTATCGATTTTTCAAAGGGTTTTATGATCCAAAACAACTAAATTTTTTTTCCAAATTTTGATATTTTTTCCCTATTTTTTGAGCGAAATTTCCGGGTTTTCAACATAATTCTCATAGATTTCACTGGGCGAAATTTCTCCGAAATTTCACTTTTCGCCAATTTTTCCAAAAAATTCAATTCCATTTTTCGGTGCAAATTTTCCGGTTTTTCGACATATTTTTCATTGAATTTCTTCAGTTTTCCTCCTACTTTTGGGGCAAATTTCCGTTTCTTTTCCATTTTCCCCATTTTTTACGAAAATAAGCTTCAGATGGTCAAAAAAGTCAAGAAAATCGACGATTCTGCCTCGATCGAAATGCCAATGGCCCAAATCGACGATGCTGATGACGTGGCAGAGGACTATGAAGTGTTCGATATGTCCAACATCGCCGCGCCGGTCATCGAATTCGAGTTGCCGAATTTGGTAGCGAAAAATGCGCCAAAAACCATGGAAAAGGCTGAAAATGATCGAAAATCGATGAAAAAACCGAAAAAATCAGTGAAAATTGCTCCAGAAGCTCAAAAATCGGATTCTGAAGGGGAGGAAGGTTCAGACGCTAGAAGACCGGAAAATGCTCAAAAATCACTCAGAAAAGAAGCGAAAAAGGCTCCAGAAGCTCAAAAATTGGCTGAAAAAGATGCTGAAACTGGCCGAATCCAGCTCACAGCAGAAAAATTGAACAATGAGCTGGTGGGACTTCGCGCGACGGTAACGAAGGCTAAAGATCAATGGATCAGCAAAGTGATCAGGAAGAAAAAGGAATTGGAAAAGAAGAGAAAGGAGGGAAAAGGTGGAAAAGAGGAGGTGGTGGATGCGAAATTGAACAGGATGATGGAGGAGATTTTGGCGTTAAAGGTGAGAAATTAAAGCATTTTTGGGGGTTAAAAATCGAAATAAGGGCTGAAAATAGCTGAAAATAACTGAAAAATAACTGAAAATAGCTGGAAATTGGCTAAAATTGGCTGAATAAAAGGCTGAAAGTAGCTGAAATTGGCTTGAAAATCGGCTTGAAAATGTCTTGAAAATCGCTGAAAATGGCTGAAAATGAAAGCGGGAATAACGACTGTAAATTGGCTAAAATTGGCTGAAAAAATGGCTGTAAATTAGCGGGAAATTGGCCGAAAATAGTGGAAAATAACTGAAAAATGGCTGGAAATAGCTGAAAATTGGCTAAAATTGGCTGAATAAAAGGCTGAAAGTAGCTGAAAAATGGAAATTGTAAGAAAATAGTTGAAAATAAGCGGAAATTGACTAAAAATTCACTAAAAATAGCTGAAAATCGCTGAAAATCGCTAAAAATGGCTTAAAAATGACTCTAGAAATTGGATTTTTGGCTCTAAAACTTCGATTTTTCTGGCTGAAAGTTTGGTTTGAAACAACATTTTTTTTTCGAATTTTCGAATTTTTCCAGCAGGCATTTCAGCGATTTTTAGCCTTCTTTGAGCTCCAAAAAGTTTTTTGGACCCCAAAAATTTTCTGAAAAAATGCTGAGATTTTCAGCCAAAAAAAGGCGAAAAATCCAAATTTTAAAGTTAAAACCCCTGAAAATCACCGAAAAATCAGTTTTTTCTCACTAAAATTAACTAGAAAATCGGGGTTTTTAGCCATAGAAAAATCTAGAAAATTCGAGAATTTCGAAAATTTTCACTGAAATTTTTTTTCCAGACAATCGATCGGGACACCATCGCCAAATTCGCTTCGCTGAACACCAAAACGTTGAATGAACTGAAAATCGATGGATCCACGCCGATGGCCGAGCAAGTCATGTACAAGTTGGCGTGCCATGAAGTCGTCGTTTCCAGAATTCAGGCGATCAAGTAAAACTTTAAAGTTTTTTTGGCTGAAAAATGGGAGAAAATTGGCTGAAAATAGCTGAAAATAGATAAAAATTGGCTGAAAATCGCTGAAAAATGGCTGAAAATAGGCTGAAAAATTCAAAAATTCGACATTTTTGGTTGAAAAACGGCTGAAATTGGACTTAAAATAGCTGAAAATAACTGAAAATTGGCTGAAAATAGGTTCAGAATGACTGCAAATGCTGAAAATAGCTGAGATTGGCTGAAAATCATCCGAAATGCAAAAATTCGAAAATTCGACGTTTTTTGGCTGAAAAAAAGTCTGAAAAATGACATTTTCGAAGCTAAAAATCCAATTTATAGTGTCTCAAAAAAGCTATTTGAAGTTGAAAATTGGCTGGAAATATATCTGAAAATTGTCAGAAAAATACAAAAATTCGGCGTTTTTTGCCTGAGAATTGGTTGAAAGTAACTGAAAATCGGCTAACAATTGGCTGAAAAATTCAAAAATTCGACATTTTCGGCTGAAAAATTGGAAAAATTGGTAACTGAAAAATTGGTGAAAAATGGCTTGAAAAATGACATTTTCAAAGCTGAAAATTCAATTTTTAGGGAATTTTTAGGGTTTTCTGGCTATTTGAAGCTAAAAACCGGCTAAAAATTGACTGAAAATGGCTGAAAATAGCTGAAAATCGGCTGAAAATTGACTGAAAATAATCCAAAATCCGAAAATTCGAGGTTTTTTTTGGCTGAAAAAAAACAGAATAGCGGAAAATAACTGAAAATGGCTGAAAATAGCTGAAAAATGACTGAAAATTCTGAAATTTTCAGACAAAAGTATATCGAATGGAACAAGACGGCGGCGTTTTTCATGCAACGGCTCGGAAGGCAATACTCCACGAAACCAGAGAAAAAGGAGAAAAAAGCGAAGCATTCTGATGAAACGAAGGGAATTCAGAAGGCGAAAACGGATTCAGAAAACGTCGTGGATTCTGGAGAAGAGAGCGATGTGGAGGAAGATGCGTTGGATGATTCAGAAGACGTGGAAAAAGAAGAAGAAGAGGGGGAGGACGCTCCAGATGACTACGATCAGTCGGACGTCGAAATGGTGGATAGTGATGATGAAGACGTCGGGGTGGAGGCGGCGAAGAAGAGGAGAAATATGGTGAGAAGGGGATTTTGAGATTCTGGGATTCTGAAAGTTTCAGATTCTAAGATTCTGCATTTCTGAAATTTTGAAGTTTTGAGATTTTCAGTTCTTACGATTCTCGGATTCTCAGATTCTGGATTTTTGAAATTCCGAGATTCTCAAAATCTGAAATATTGAGAATCTGGAGTTCGGAAACTTTGGAAATCTGAACTTCTGAATTTGGAGGATTCTGGAAATCTGATACTCTAAGATTCCAGGATTCTAGAGCTCTAGGATTCTGAAATTTCGAAATTCTGGGATTCTGAAGTTCTAGTATTCCGAAATTCTAAAATCGATTCTGAGATTCTAGAATTCTTAGATTCTGAATTTCGGAAATTCGGAAAACCTGAAATCCTTGAATTCGCAGATTCTACGATTCTCAGATTCCAGTATTCTAGAATTCTGAAATTTCGAAATTCCGAGAATCTGAAAATCTGAGTTTCTGGGATTCTGAAATTCACAGATTCTGGAATTCTCAGATTCTGAAATGTCAGGATTCTACGATTCTGGCATTCTAGATTCATGGAATTCTGAAAATTTGAAATTCTTGAATTCCGAAATTCTGAGAATCTGGAACGCCAGGATCCTGAAGTCCTTGAGACCCTGAAGTTCAGAAATCTGCAATTCTTAGATTCTTAGATTCTGAAAATTTAAGATTCTGAACTCCTGAGGCTTCTGAAATTCTGGGATTCAGACTTTGAAAATTATTTATTTTCAAAGACTTGAAATTTTGAATTTTTCGGATTTTTCAAAAAAAAAAAGGATTCTGAGATTTTGAGATTCCAGGATTCAGGGATTCCGAATTTCTGAAAATCCGAAAATCTGGGATTCTAGGATTCTGAAATTTCGAAATTTTGAGATTTTGGGATGTTCAGATTCTAGGATTCTGAAGTTATGAAAATCTGAAAATTTGAATTTCTGGGATTCTGAAGTTCACAGATTCTTAAATTTAAATTTCCAGCTCCTCAATCTAATCGGTGTCAAGGAAGACGCGTCCCGTCCGGCTCTCAATCCAAAAAAGCGAAAAATCGTTGACGACGATTCACAAGACGTCACGGAGACGACGTCATCTGAACCATCGAAGAAGCAGAAAACGAAAGAAGCGATGAAGGCAGTGTTGGAGAAGGCGTTGAAGGCTGAAAAGGTATGAAGAGAGGACATCTGGATACACAGATGGACGGAGGACGAAAATCCTGGAAAATTGGACATTTTTGCAGGTGGAAAAGCCGAAAAAAATGGTTCCAAAGAAGGTGGAAGTGTCTTCTGAAGTAGAATCTGAAGACGTGGAAGAAGAAGCAGATGACGTCGAGGAGGAAGAGGATCCAAATCAGGTTTGTCTGAAAATTCCAGAAAATTCTGGAAAAGAAAATTTTGAAAAAAACATTTTTAGTCAAAAAATGTTGAATTTTGCAAAATATCGATTTTTCGAATTTTTCAGACTTTGAAAATTATTAATTTTCAAAGACTTGAAATTTTGAATTTTTCGGATTTTTCAAAAAATTTGAATTTTTCAGAATTTCGATTTTTGCAAAATTTTGAATTTTTGATTTTTTCGAAATTTCGATTTTTTTTTTCAAAATTTTGATTTTTTTTCAGAACTTTCAGAAATTTTCTAATTCTTCCAGCAAACTCTGGTCATGAAAATCGACCTATCACAAGGTGGAAAAATAGCCAAATCGACGGCGGCTCCGAAATCGACGATGGCTGCTCATGCTCCAAAGAAGGCTTCAGAAGACGTGGAGGAGGAGAATTCTGAAGACGAGAGCTCTGGATTCTTCCTTCCAGCGTCCTCTAAAGGAACGTCTTCAGCTTCTAAATCGAAAGCAGTGCCGGAATCTGGAGGAATCGCGAAGAAAATGGAGAAATTGGGAGTTGAGGAGGATCTGAAGATGAAGAAGAATAAGAATACGAAGAAGAAGGGACCAGTGGGAAAGAAGAGTGCGTTTTTTGGAGGGAATTCGAATTTTTGAAATTCCAAAGATTCTGAATTCTGAAAATCAGAGAAATCTGAAAATTCGGATTCTGAAGCCTTGATTTCTGGAATTTTGAGAATTCTGAAATTTGTATTCTGGAAGCATATTGGATTCTAAAATTTCCCAAAATTCAGAAATTTTGAATTCTGAAAGTTTTGAAAATTGGGAGATTCTGAAATTCTGAAATGCTGGGATTCTTAATTTCCCCGAAAATTGAGATTCTGAATTCTAGGTTCTGAAATTCGGAAATTTTAATATTCTAAGTTTCTGAATTTCTGAATTTTCTGAAGATCTGAATCTCTGATTCTCTGAAACTCCGGGATTCGGGAATTATGGGATTCATCCGAATTCTGAAATTTCTGAAATTCTGAATTTTCGAAATTCTAATATTCCAAGATTCTAGAATTCTGAAATTCTCAGATTCTAGAATTCTGAATTTCTAAAATTCTGAGTTTCTGAATTTCTGAATTTTCGAATTTCTGAAAATCTGAATCTCTGAAACTCCGGAATTCAGAAATTCAGAAATTCTAAGATTCTGAATTTCTGAATCTTTGAAACTCCGGAATTCTGAAATTCTGAGATCCTGAAATTCAAAGATTCTACAATTCTGGTTCTTTGAAATTTTAGGATTCCAAGTAATCAGATTTTTTCAAACCTAAATTCCCCAATTTTCCAGATTTCCAACCCCCAGCTACTACCACCGAAAACAAGAAGAAGGGCACATCGAAGAATTCGACGTCTTCAGAAGGCCAAATGCATCCATCGTGGCTCGCTTCTCAAGCCAAAAAGAAGGAGTTGGCGGCGGCGAAACCAGCTGGAAAGCGCATTTTATTCAATGATGAAGACTAGGATTTTTACTGATTTTTTGTTGAATTTGTTATCATTGTTATCGTTGTTTGAATTTTCTTTTTTTATTAAACGAATTTCATTTTTATGACTGTTAACACTACAAATTTTGAAAAATCGATACCTTCCATTTTAATCTCAATTATCTCGGTTACTGTAACCGAGATAACTGAGCTCAAAGTCTTCTTTAATTTTTACACCTTTTCACATGGTCCCCCCGCCCACCTCAATTTGTCAACCATTTCTTCCGAGCCTGACTAATTGCTGGCTCATGAACCAGACTTGATCCCCCTCTTTGGTGTCTCGGTGCCGCTCAGAACCTCCATCTGCACCTGCTCCTAGACGGGTGGGGTTTCGAATGAGCAAATTTAATGATGGGTTAGGAATGTCCGCATGATTTTTCAAGGCAGAATTGATTACTGTAACTCAAACTTTCGCTATTTTACCGTAGCGACAGCTTTAAAGGCGCATGCATGACGAATTTCAAAAGTTCGTCGAAAAAAGTTTTTATGCAATTTCTTGCGATTGTCTGAATTTTTGTCCTCAAAAAAAGTTCAAAATCCATCAAATATGTCGGGAAATAGAAAAAAAACACATGCTCCTTTAAATGCGAATTTAAAGTTTTCGCGACCGGACCTAAGCTCCGCTCATTCCGAATTCTCGACCGCAATGCGCATTGAAATTAGACTAGGACCTAAAACTTTAACTGGAAAAATTCCGAAAAAATCGAAAGAATCTAAGAAAACCCGACAGTGACGTCACTCGCCGTGCAAGTGAGCAGCCAAATCGCTGTCGCAAGTGCAGAAAAATTGGGCGATTTTTCTCGCGTTTAGGGGGAGTATTCAGCGAAAAATTCAAATAATCGACTCAATTATAAATGATAATATCTTCAAAAATGTAACGAAACCGCTGAAAATTCGGATAAAAAACTCGAAGCGACGGCGCGAAAAAATCCAAGAAAGATCAATTTTGGCCAATTTGGTATGGAAAACGTCTATCGGAGTCAGAAAAAGAGACGAAAACAAAGAAAATTTGTATGAATTTCAGCAAATTCAGCATTTTCAGCAAGAAAAACCGGCTCAAAAACCATAGGAAAGCCGAGGCGTCGTCGCCACGTGGATTACGGTTTTTCGGGAGAGATTCAGGCGAATTTGTTGATTTTCAGCGTTTTTCGCTGAAATTTTACTGAAATTTCACATTAAAAAAACCAAGAAATTCGTCTGGTTAATGCATAAGCGCCATTTAAAGAAACAATTTCCGCAAAACAAAAAAAGAACTATCGGAATTCCAATTTTTGAGTTTTTGAAGCGTTTTTGACCTACAAATTGGTAGAAGCAGAAAAGCATGAAAACTAGAAATACGGCTTAGTTAAGCCTAAATTTACTCTCGTCCGCGAAATCGTGAGCGGGCCAGGCCGGCCATCCTTGGCCACCAATCTTGGTGTCAAATGAAGCTTGGCGGCTATCGCATTGGGATTCTGCACATTCGAAAACTTGATATTTCCGCTAAATTCTGGCAAAAATCCAAAGAATTAAGTCGTTTAAATTCACAGGTATCAGATAAGGGTCTCACCACGAAAGCCAACTTTTTACAAAAAAACAGCACTAGAGTAATACAGGAATCCCGGGAAAAATCGTGTCAAAACATAATTTTTTTGGAGAATTTAAATTTCCCGCCCTTTTCTTTTTTGCTTCCATCCATTTTATCCCAATGGATCGTTTCCGCCGAGAATTCTTCCCCTCTGTTTCACTTGTTTTTTCATCAATCTCCCGCTTTTCGCCGTTTCCAGCTTCCACTCTATGCACTTTTCAGAAGCTTTAATTAATTTTTTCATCGTCCAGTATCTGAATAGATTTTTGAAAGAATCGCCTAGTGATGAGAGACGCAGAGAAAACAAAAAAGAGTAAACAGAAGAAGAAGAAGAATGACTTGATGAAATATCTATTATTTTGTACTACTACCACTAAATACTACTTGATAAGAGAAAGAACTCGGAGAGACGAATAAAGGCATCGAAGCTTCTGGAAGCTTCTACGGTAGAAACTCTATCCAACAGGTCTCACCACGAAAATTAGCTTTCGAAAAAGTTGGCTTTCGCGGTGAGACCCTTGTCAGAGACCTTTGAATTTTAAATTCTGTGGATTTTTTTTGCTGGAAGTTTTGGAAATTTCCAGTTTTCGAATTTGCAGAATTCCAATGCGGTAGCCGCCAAGCTTCGTTTGACACCAAGCTTGGCTGGCCGGCCTGGCCCGCTCACGATTTCGCGGACGAGAGTAAATTTAGGCTTAACTAAGCCGTATTTCTAGTTTTCATGCTTTTCTGCTTCTACCAATTTGTAGGTCAAAAACGCTTCAAAAACTCGAAAATTGGAATTCCGATAGTTCTTTTTTTGTTTTGCGAAAATTGTTGCTTTAAATGGCGCTTATGCATTAATCCAGACGAATTTCGTGGTTTTTTAAGTGAAATTTAAGAAAAATTTCAGCGAAAAACGCTGAAAATCAACAAATTCGCCTGAATCTCTCCCGAAAAACCGTAATCCACGTGGCGACGACTCCTCGGCTTTCCTATGGTTTTTGAGCCATTTTTCTCGTTTTTTCCACTATTTTCTCCGGTGTTTCTTGCTGAAAATGCTGATTTTGCTGAAATTCATATGAATTTTCTTTGTTTTCGTCTCTTTTTCTGACTCCGATAGACGTTTTCCATACCAAATTGGCCAAAATTGATCTTCCTTGGATTTTTTCGCGCCCCCTCCGCTTCGAGATTTTCATTCGGATTTTCAGTTGTTTCGTCACTTTTAAACATATAATCATTGATAATTGAGTCGATTATCTGGATTTTTCGCTGAATACTCCCCCTAGAAAAATCGCCCAATTTTTCTGCACTTGCGACAGCGATTTGGATGAAATTCGCTAAAATTTCTATCACCAAATTTTCTTGAATTTTCTGCTAAACTATTCTGAAAATCAACAGAAGTATTCGGTTTTCACAAATTTCCACCAAAAAACACCCCGAATCCACGTGGCGAGCTTCAGAAGCTCGCTTGCACAATGTATGACGTCACTGTTGGGTTTTCTTTGATTCTTTCGATTTTTTCGGAATATTTTCTAGTTAAAATTACCAGAAGTTCTGAAAAACCGACTAACCGCTTAGAAAAACCTAGAATTTCATCTGAATCCGTCGCCATTGCTCAGCACCGCCGCTGGCTTCGAAATTCGAGTTTTCGCCTCACTTTTTCAAGAATTCTAGGTCAGAATTCAGCGAAAAAGTTGAAGAAATTGCTGGAAACTAGCTAAAATTTCAATTTCTCCAAAAAACCCCGACAAAAATCGGATAAAGTTTTCATTTCCGGCGAACTTGATTCTCGGAGTTTTTTCGCTGGGTTTCTCGAGAATTTTCGTGAGAAATTGATAAGAATCGATGGAAATCAGTAGAAATCAGTGAAAGATCCAGAAGAAACCTAGAAAAGTCTGGAAAAATCGACGTTGAAGCAGTTTGGAATCTTTCTGGGTCTCGGAAATCTAAAAAAAGAGTCCACCGATGTTTCCCGATCCTCTGGTCCTTCTCAATTGTTCCAGAATACCCCCTGATCCCTCAATTATCCCAATTTCATCCCATTTTCAGTTTCTCGTACCATGCAAACCTTTCCACCTCAGACTCCGCCCCTTTTTCTTCTCCTATCTTTGTCTCGTCGTCTCTGCCCTCCTTTTCTCCCACACTCTCTACACCACACTCTGGCGCTCTGCGGCTAGAGACGCAGAAAAGAACAACCCGAATGGAAGCAAGAGAGGAGATAGACAGCTGGGAAATAGTGTAAGAGTGTATGAGATTTAGAGAAATGTGTGTAGCGGCGGTCGTGGTGTCTTTCTGTCTCTCTCTCTCTATCTTCTTCCTATGTGTTAGAGAAAACGAAGAAGAGTATGTCATCGAAGAATCTAGGAGAATGGGATAGTCTTCTCATTCTTCTTTCCCCACCCCTTCTGATAAGCCCCCTTCTGGAAATCGTAACGTCTTCTGGATTGGTGGAGTAAGTGAGTTCATCTATTCCAGGTGTAGGGCCGCCCGGAGAGGTGGAACCGTAGAGGTGGTTGGAGCTAGATTTCTCATTCTCTTCTTCAAGGTTCGTACCTTGGGCACAGCCGAAAGTTTTTAGATTTTCCGACTCCCAGAATCTCAGGAAGCTTTAGAAGCCCAAATCCTTCTGAAGTTCCCTCAAAAACCCTAGTTTTAGATGAGTTTGGCATACCAAGATTTTCAGCTGCCATGAAATCTTCCATCCAATCTCGACTTTTTTCTCCGCCAAAATCGCTCTGAATCGCCTATTTCCGACCTTAAGAACAGCCTTTTTTCCAATTTCCGATGGCTCGGCGGGACCACTGGATACTTACAGGCTTTCCGATTTTCCCACCTTTTCCGACCTTTTCCGGGACACGTGGCGACTCAATTTTTGGGTTTTTTCATCGAAAAATGGTTGATAACCGTCAAAATCTCATCGGAAGTCTCAGAAATTCCGGTCTGACTGAAATTCGCCTGTTGGAACGGCGGTGGGCCTGGAAATTTTGCCACGTGGCGACTAGGTTCAGAGCAGAAGGTTCAGGAAATCAGCAGGACTGTAATTTCAGCCAAAAATGCGGTAATTTTCGGAATTTCAGCCGGCGCTTGCCACGTGGCATGGAACGAGCCGCATTTTTCTCGTTTTTCCGGCTTATTCGAATTTCGATTTTTGGAATTTTTCAGATCGATGTTCGAAATTGCTCCGTTTTTTCTGAAAATTCTCGGATTTTTTAGAAATTTTCGAGTTTTCACAAAACAGTAAGATTCGAAAGTTCAATTCAACGCTTTCGTGTCGAGACCAACGCCTACGGTCATCGGAGTTTCCGAAAATTCTTGTAGTTTCCGAGTCTTTTCGGCCGACCCAGAAGACGCCACGTGGCGTTTGGCCGCTTCAAGTTGACCGTAATTGCCATGGCAAATTTTACCCAGTTTGAGGTTAGGTGTATTCCGGTAGGAAACCTGAAATTTTGAAGTTTAAAGCATCTTAATGGGGTGTTGAGCTGAACTGCTCATCTGGCGACCGCCTCGCCGACACGCGGCGCGTCTGAACTTGACTCGATGCCGAATTTCAAATGCCATGAGACTAATATTGCGATTCTGATCTTGAGAACATGTGCCTTTAAAAACCATGTTTTTCTCAAAATTCTGATTGAAAAAATCGCCGAAAATCGTTTAAAGGCGCCTGGTCTCTGTTTGTTGGCCGCTGCGCCTTTAACTGACTTTTTATCCTCCAAGGGATGGTCCTTCCTGACCATAGGATATTACTATCATAGTTACAAACGGGCTAACTCGAGATAGTTGTGGATAACTCGGCTTCAGAACGAGATATTTTATCAAATGATAGATCTCGACGAGGTCCATCTTAGCCCACGGGCCGGTTTCGGGTCCGTTAACATGCCACACGGGCCGGTTTCTGGTCCGTTAACATGCCTATGGCCTGTCTAGAATGGCAGATATGGAAAAATTCCGGTCTATCTATAATATAACAGTCCCTTAACTTTTGAATTTGAGTCAAATTATCTCAGCTCCACTTAAATAAACCAAAAAATTGGGGACTGATAAACTGCTTAACACATTATCACCAACATTTTATCAGTTCACAAAATTTTCATATCTTTAATGGAAACCGAGATAATTAAGCTTATATGGCACTTATGAAGTCTACTATGACAGGTTTGAATAAAGTCAAGTTTGGAATTCTACAAAAATACTTCAT